TCCCACCGTGACCCCTCCCCATCCCAGCACACGCTCCCACCGTGACCCCTCCCCATCCCAGCACACGCTCCCACCGTGACCCTTCCCCATCCCAGCACAGGATCCCAGGATTAGCTGTGATCATGATGACCACATGATGAATCCCAGGACTGCGGCTCCCAAGGACCAGCAGAGGCCTCCATCCCCAGGTTCTATCCGGGGTTCCTCACAGGGCACCAACCCTCAGGGCGAGTTAACATCTGGAGCAGCCTGGCACTTTAGGCCCACAGACCCAGGTTGCTGTGGCAGAATTCGGGTGGGAGAGGCTCCCCATTTGCCGTCTCTCCAACAGGTGCACCTCCATAGCTTTCTAGAACATTCCAGGGAAGCTCCCAGTCCCCGAGTCTCCATCCTCAAACCTGTGGGCCATAGACTGCAGGCTCAGTGGGCCCTGCAAAGACCAGACAGAAGGAGACAGGGAGACCCACACGGTCAGAGAGGAGAGCTGGGGGAGCAGCCTGAGGGAGCTCTGGGCTTTCTCTAAATGGAGTAGGGGTGGAAGGAGGCTGCGATGTGCAGTGAGGGGGCTTGAGGGGGAAATGGGGGTCTCCACCCACCCCAGGGACAGGCGCTCACCCTAAGCCCACCTGGCTTGCAGCATCGAGACCAGGGCTACGCAGAGCAGCTACACCCAAGCCCAACTCCAGCTGTGTGCCTGAGCTCGCTCAGAGACGTGTCCTGCGTGGTCCTCTGTCCGTCCTGCATTAGAGAAGGAGACGCAGGCATCCAGCACAGCTGGGCTGGAAATCCACAGCCTAGCAGTGCAACCTCACCTGCACTCACGTGGCCAGTGGGACTCACCTTCGCACACTCACGCTCCGCTCACGTGTACACACGCACAAGCACAGCACACGGACCACGTTTGTGCTCTTCACTCACCTTCATGCACTCATGCTCAGCTCACATGTGCACAGGTTCACAAGCACAGCACACAGGCACACAGTCCACATTCGTGCCCTTCAGTCACACGCACACCTGCTCACATTAAAACCACATACATACACCATTGTATGGGCACATGCACACTCATGGACATGCTTGCACACCCACACACAGTCTCCATCCAATACCAGACCCATCACACACCCATACGTGGACCCCCATCCAGCACTGGACCCATCACACACACCACACGTGGACCCCCATCCAGCACCGGACCCATCACACACCCACACGTGGACCCCCATCCAGCACCGGACCCACCACA